ATCTTTCTATTTTCACAATCATATTTCAGCTCATGTCACGGCAGATAACTCCCTCTCTGACCCTTTAGCTTTAAATAGCAGAAAATACAACCCATGTTTTCCAGTGAGATAAATAGAAATTTGTCTTTTTTATTTCACAGCTTAGTCAATTTATGAGGGGGACTGATAGGGCGGGTCAAGCTATTTAGAAACATACTTAGATCCTGAGAGGGGAACTGCTGAACACCTACCGACTTTCTGCAAGTAAATCCACTCCGTATCTTGCAGGCTTAAGTCCTGTTTCCTATGCAACATCAAGTTAATTGTGCTTCTTTTTAAAACCAAGTTCTTGTTTCTAATCTGTGTGAATGAATCTTTTTATAAGATGTCCAATTTTAAGATTAAACTTTAAAAAGTTGTTAGCTAAATTAAAACCAGAATGCAGACCGCTCTGCAGAGCTGATACACAGGCAGGGCACCTGCTGGTCGGCCAAAGCCCGGACCCACAAACAATTATACACAAGAGCAAAGATGTGCATGTGAGTGTGTGCAGGATCAATGCTCCAAGGTATGCATGAGTCGTATATAAGTATGCTGAGTGTTAGGAGAGCCACTTGTGCTGGTAATAGTTATATTTTCACTTACTCGTGATAATCTTAGTGCTTCCCCTTACGATATCCGACACTCTGCGGTGGTGGTTGACCATGCAGAGCTCAGGCACAAAGTTGAAGACAGCTTGGGATTGTCATGCGCTACCCAGCGAAGGGTCTAAAGACAGGACTTCAGTGCTTTGGAGGATGACTTGTGCCAACAGAGTGGAAGCCATGGATGCCAAGCTATCTGCCATCAAAGCAAACGGAGCTGCAACACACCACAAACCTTATTTAGGTCCAGAAAAAAAAAATCGAAAGAGCAAGGAGATATTTATGTCTGACACATGAGGGGAAAAAAGTCTCTGTGTTGATGCAGCACTGAGGACAGCCCCAGCTCTGGATGGGGGGAGCAGGTCCAGGCAGACGTCAATGCCCACACCCCACTTCCAGGCCAAGTGCTGATGGTGGCACCGCTGGGGTCGGTCCCCCCTCCCCATGCCAGATCCTTTTCTGAAGTTTCTAATGCCTGGAGTTCGGCTCAGGTGTGTGCTCATTTGAGACAACGCGTGTTATTCGGGAGCTGAAAGGAGGGCTCACGATTCTTGACCGCATCTAGCTAACTCTCCAACTTTCCCCGCAACTCCTGTAGGTCTCAGGCAGCTGTCATTCTTTCTTTTGCCAGTTTACTCATCACAGGTGGTTTTATGTGCACCCTTGCAAGTGACTGGCTGGAAAAGCCTCTTAAGTTGACCCAGCATCTGGGATCATGATTTGCACCAATCCTCCCACAAAGATCAACTAATTTGTTCATTATTTGCACGTTTAAATTAAATTTTTACCTTTTTTCCCCCCAAATATTTTTAAAAAATAATTATAGATTTAAGTCCAGTTGTAGTTTAAGGATGGTTTCAGTGGGAATTGACTGCAAGAAGATTTAATTCCTGGGTCTCCACCCAACGTGTCTAGCAAACGGGTCAGAAAATTGTTCAAGAGACAGTTTGAGTAGCTCACGCCAGTGAGTACACTATATTTAAAATTTCTCCAGAAGGTCTTTTCTCACCTCACTGCTGAAAACATACTAGTTTACTCTTCCAGCTACTGTCTGATCTTTCTAGCCATTTAGAGAAGGCAATGACTGCAGATTAGGGTTTTCTGCGCTTTCAGTTATACAGAAGAGTGAAACCATTGATCAGACTACTGACTAGCTATTTTTGCTAGGAAAGAAGTGTTTTGCTTATTATGATCATTAGCCAAAGTGGGCTCTGTGTCTCACATGGTGTGATGCGTTGCTGCCAGTTCTGTTCTTTCCTTATACTATATTTTGTACCATGTCTCCTGCTTGACTAACTTTCTTTGTCCTCCTGAACCAGAAGTGCTGTTCCCACCTATGTAGTATTTTGTGACGCTAAGTCACCATCACCTACAGCTTAAACACGAGAGTCTCAGTATTGTGTTGATATTGAAGCCTGACCTTTTTCTAATGCCAAGATCCTGAATTCTTTACTTCTAAATTTTCAGAGGGAAAGTAAGGCACAGATCTAAGTTGGCCGTCAGATGCACATAAAAAGTGCAGGCTGAAAAGTAAACAAGAAAGAAAATAAAGGAGGATCGTATCAGGTCATTTCCCAAATTGTTCATCTTTCGGAATCCAGAAATGATGAGGTTGCACCTTTCAACCTACCCATATTTTGAGATTAGAGAGAACATGGAGCAGTATTACCTTGGTGAGCCTGTTCTAGAGCATCAGCAGAAGCTCAGAGGAAACAAACCGTTGCCTGCAAGGAGCAGCTGCCTGAGCCTGCCTTGTTAAAGCAGCGTTTCCCTCTGAGATCCTCCAGGCATTCCAACTGGCTGCCGAAATCGGAAGTAGAGGAGTGGTATTCACTATTTACAAGTGGCAGGAAAACACATGTACTCATCTCATTTGGTTGCAAAGCCCCTGTTACACTGTGTCGGTAGCTAAAGCACTGTCACAGAAGAGGCTCAAAATGAACTAAGCTTACGCCTCGCCTGTGTGCTGACGTGTCTGGGAACCAGACAAGGCTAATGAAGCTTAAAAAAGTGAATCATTTATGGAAAACAGGGATAGTTTGATGCAGACGTGACAAGTCTGTGCTACTTCATCAATACTGCACAAGTGCCAAGGTACTTCCTACCTGGATCGATTCTTCCAGACACCTGCTTTGTTTACCTTGTCATCACCTAGCTTTTTGTTTTAAAAAGCTGCTTAACTTTTCCCCCAAACAAGACAAGCTTATAAAATAACTTGATTTGTGGAATATATTTTATGATCAAGCTTGACATTGGATTCTGGTTCTGCCTGTGCTAGTTTTAGACTCTCTGCATTGCATTTTTCTCCCGTCTAAGAAGCAAAAGAGCTGCTTAGTCTTTATAATGTCGACTATGTCAGACTAAAATGGTTTCCCAGTCTTTTTTATTCTAGATCTTGAAAACAACTTCTGCTAGATCAGAAATCAAACCAACTGAAGGAAAAACAGAACCAGATGCAATTTTCAACTCAAAATGCTTTTTTTTTATTTTTTATTTTTTATGATGTCCCATTTGCTGCTGCATGAAACAGAAATCTGGTGTGGTGCATTGCTTCCCTCTGAGCGGAGATATGGGGACTTCTTATTGTACCTTCCCCTTTCATAGTGTTGCACTTAAAACAGTGAGGATATTGTTGAGGATAAACTGGAGGAGGAACTAGAAAGGTGGCCTGGCTGGTCCTCATGGATTCACTCTGGAGCGGGACCCCACTTCACAGCCTCCTCTGGTCTCCCCGTGGGGCCGCGCAGAGGCACTGAGACACAACTCCAAACACGCCTAAAGCCTGGGATTTCTATCCAACACTCGGATTTTCACCAAAAGCCACTAGTTCTAGAAAGCTTCATCTGCAAAGTCCGCTGTCATAACAATTCAACATTTTATGATTTTTCTTTTTTGAAATAGGGGAAAGCAAGAAACCCTCTGAGGAAGCCCGATACTTGACTACAAGTTCCTCAATAAACACAGCGCAAAGCAGTATCAATGGGAATATTGCCCATGCCAATAAAAGGGCACAAAGTTGCCTCTTAACATATTTTGATTACGTCATCTTGTTTTCCATTTTACTTTCTTGCCATAAGGAACTGGATATTTTTCATTAAAAGAACCATTTAGTGACAAGTACAGAAATCTAGATCATATACGTGAAAGGGATGTAGCTGAGAATGAAGTGCTTGTAAGATTTCTTTCCCAAGTGATTATTTTTTTTGTGAAATCCAATAAACAGCAGAAATGTGCTTGTTTCATGTGTAATAAACTATTGCCAGCAGTTGAGGACTGCCAGAACTTAACTGGCGGGTGTTTGGAGAAGGGAAGCTGATCTTCCCATCTGCCCTCTCCTAATTAAGAGCCTGCTTCCGATCCTATTGATGCAAGGGTACATTTTGTCATTGGAGAAAGAAGAGTAGGGGTAAGTTCTTAGTTTGGGAGATCCAAGAAATTTTAAAGGGCTGTTTGATATACATGGGCAACCTCTGCAAACCTCCTTGTTTTGAAGGGGCCCCTCTCTCAGCAGAACTGGTTCCAAAAGCCCTCCAGATCCCATAGGATCCACACGTGGGAAGTCCACACACCGGAAGCTTCAAGAAGATAAATCATAGATTTAAAGTGAGAGCCCCCCCAAACAAACAGAAGTCTGTCATTATAGCCATATTGCACAAAATAATACTGGCTTAACAGCTTCCTCACAGCCCTCTGGTGAAGCTCTTACTTCGCCTTGCTTTTGTCAGGGTACCTACAACAGGCCAGGATTATTATTTTTTTTTTCCATCCTGTGAGAAATTTGGAAATTAAACCCAAAACTTATTTCACTGAGTTTGCACAAATGTCAGTGTTGAAAAATTTGTGACACCAACAGTGTGAAAAAAATGCTCCAGTTCAGCTAAAATATTTTCAGAACAAGATTTCTAACAGAGGTTATTTGCCTGTAAAAATACCTTTCAGTGTAGAATTAAATTTCTAAATAAAATCCCATTTCTGAGCTGATTTTTTTGAAAGTCGCATATATGGACATTTTAGCAATTTCACCCCCAGTTCCACCTATTTCCTTTTTTCTTTTCTTTCTTTTTGCGCTCGAGCATTTGCCACCCCACCCTTTTGCTATAAAGTTTAGTTTGCCTACTTCTAATACCACCTGCAAATACATATATACGAAGTTGCCTAAATAATACTTTACCTCCTACTACCTCCATGGGAGAGCTATCATTTTAGAGAGTGAACATCCACAAAAATCAATACGTAGAAGAGACCTGCTTATGCCTGCAGATTTACAGCACTTCTAATAATAGCCTTCCGATGTTTGCACTGCAGGAACTTGCCTATCTTTTTCTAACTAATGTCACCATGTTGTATCCCGCATTTACGGCACTGTTTTAATTGCAGGTAGCAGAGAAGCAGCATTCACATATGCCATCATCGCTGCTGGAGTAGCACATGCCATCACGGCTGCCTGTACACAGGGCAACCTGAGTGACTGTGGTTGCGACAAAGAAAAACAAGGACAGTACCATAAAGAGGAAGGATGGAAATGGGGAGGCTGCTCTGCTGACATCAGATACGGAATAGGATTTGCCAAAGTCTTTGTGGATGCCCGGGAGATTAAGCAAAATGCAAGGACGCTCATGAACCTGCACAACAACGAGGCCGGGCGGAAGGTAAGCGCCTCTGCTCTCCCCCAGACGGGGCCATCTCTGGGCCAGGACTGGAGATGGGGTTTGGTCGCGTACGGTGCATGAGAACTACAGTGCGCTTTAATGCTAACGTCACGTTACAGTAGACAAGTAGGTACCTTCGCAAGTTATACAAGCTTGTTGGACCATCTGTCTGTCAAATATTTGTCTCAATGTTACTCTTTGCAGTTGTAAAAAGAAAAAAGCAAACAAACATTTTATCTGGGAAGTCAAACGGTACTTAGGATAAAAAGCTTGCCTGCTACTGTGTGGGTGAATGGGATTCTCGTCAGGTTCAGACATGAACTTCTCCCTCGTTTGAAAAGGGATCGTTTTCAACCCATGTTTAAACCTTGTTCTTTGTGTGAGGACTACCTCTACAAGGAGAAAAATACTTTAGCAAAAAGACCACAGGCTGACTCACTGTTACACCATTACACGGATTTGGTTTATCGTTTTGCACAGCAACATTCCTGCCCCTTCCCCACTCTTTAGGACCGGGTAGCTGAAAGCTGCTGCTGCAGAACCAGTGCTTGGGAAGACAGGAATTCATCAGCTTCCAACACGCGCCCTTCCTGGGGATCCGGGGCACCCACTGCCCCGGATTTGCTGCCTTTGCTGTTTGCTGCACTGGGCCAGTTTTCCGATTGTCGATGGTGGCTGTAGCAGACGCAAGACCCAACCTGGTCTCTGCTCCTCAGATCCCTTCAGGGCAGGCATTGCCCAGCATTCCTTGGAGCAGTGCCAGTGGTGGAGAGGCTCTGATCTCCACCAGGCAGGAATAGCCAGGGGATGGCTGTGTGCTCCCCGTACTGCCCCGTGCGGGTACAGTCCAGCCCTGCTTTCTGTCAGGGAGTTTTGCTGATCCCATCTTACAGAACGAACACAAATCCTCTTGCTTTCTTCGCTCTCTGTTCTACCTTCTCTGCTGTTTGCACTCCTGTGCATTAGTACTGATTTTAGCATTACGTTAGTGTGACTTAGAAGCAAATGGGAGAAGGAAGTTAGGAAGAGCAGTTAATTTGTGGATACTATTTTTTTGTGGTAATTACCTGTAGGCTCTGAGACATCTCCACTTATGCTGGAGCCAAGCAGATTGTATTGAAGAAAAGCCATTTCCACCCCAAACAAAAGCCTAGCCTTTCTCTTTATTTAATGCTACTGTAGCTTTACAGGTGCGATTACAGTTTTTACTCTCCCCAGCGCCCGGCTCTGGCTCTCTAGTGCAAACTTCAAAACACTAGCAAATTTAACACTGAATTCTGAGAATAACTCAAGGACTAGCCATTCATATTTGCTAATCAGTTGATTCCGAATCTTTATTACTCGGCTTCTGGTGGCATGAAGGCACATACTGAAAAGGCTGGTAAGACACCACGGCCCGCAGCCTGCTCTGCTATACAAGCACAAATCCACTGAAATAAAAAAATAACAGAGAAGTTTCACCTTTGTGGGAAAGCTACTTCCCTGAAAGGTCTGCTTTTGTTTGATAGGTGCTGGCAGTAAGATTCCCAGGAAATGACACACCAGCCTGTAGAGGACTGCAAACATAGATGGAGCGGGCTACTGTCTTAGAAAATTGTTTCAATTACAAAGCTCAAAGACAGACAAAAAAAAGGAAGTTGCATTTCTTGGATCTGTTATCACGCAGGTATGGACCTAGGGTAGAGGAGGAGGGATACCAGTCCTGGAGCTGACCTCTGGGAAGGCAAAGCATTCAGCAGCCTCCCCTTGAGGACACAAGCTCCTTGTGTTTCTCACCTATATGCGCACAATTTGCTGTCCTAAAGGATTACGCCTGGAAGACTCAGCTCTGAGCACTGTTATCTGCGAGAACAGTGGTGCGTGCTATCTCTGGCGATCGGCCATTTCTCCAGCAGGCTCAGGAACTGTTCTGATCTAGAGATATTTCTACGCTTCTTCCTGCATCCCTTACAGAGCAAAATTACTGATCTTTGTTCGAACAAATCTCTGTTTGAGATCTTGAGGGGAAAGAAAGAGTAACACAACTGAGAAGAGGCATGTTACTCCACCATCCTGTAGAGAATGAATAAATGATGTTTTTGCTAGAGAGATTCCTTTCAGGCTTTGCCCTTATGTGAAAGATCACAGTATTTAAAGACAATTGGCAGAGGGAGGCCATTACGGGTATTTGGCAAGTAGCGCTCTCACAACCTAACCCTTTCACAACAAAGACTGTCTTGTTTTGAGGTGGTACTCTCCCTTTTGGAGCAATATGGATCTTATCAGCCACCACACAATCTATTCTTGGTGGCTTTCCTCTGGGCTACAAATTCTTGTCTAGTTTTACTTGTCCATGGTTAGGTTTTTGATTATATTTATGCACCTAGAAGACAGACTGGCACCTACTGAGCTTCCAAAAATAAACTACATGTTCGGTTCTTATTGATTTGTTATCTTCACCTGTAGGCACCGCTATGCTGTTCAGAAGTCAGTCCCCTCTACTTTCTTCTTTGGTCTTGCAATGTGAAACTGCGCTGTGTGCTGAGCCCACTACCCCAGGCATTCATGAATGACCTGTGAAAAGGTTCTTCTTTAGGATGACACCAGCTGCAGGTGATTCAGGGTGCACTCTAACAAATCATACATATATTACTATTTAGTAAATTAATCTGCTGGGCTTACTAGGGAAACTGAGCATAGGTAGGACTGCAGGGTATAAACCAACAGAGACCCACCAGGAAAAGCCTGATCCAGGCTCTTTGGAGATCTCAGTTCAAGACTTTCCACCTTCTCATAGTCTTGTTTTACCTAGACAGATGTCTCTCTGCCTCCTGTGGTGCCAACAACAGTCTCTCTGAACCTACTGAATACATGACCGTCAGAGTAATAGTACAATCATCTGTCAGCTCTTTCTAGAAGAAAATGCAAATTGACTGGGTCAAATGTGGAGGATTTTAGCGGTTGTAGGTGGAGAACATCCATGTTCCTTTTCCTCAACAGCCTTGCTAGTGCAAGGTTGGCCTTGGGCAACCTGGTCTAGTGGGAGGTGTCCCTGCCCATGGCAGGGAGGTTGGAACTCGATGATCTTCAAGGTCCCTTCCAACTTAAACCATTCTATGATTCTGTGATTCTGTGCTTGAGAAATGCTGGTGTGCGCTCCCAGGATGTGGCAAGAAGCACTCCCACCTGAGATCAGCGTGTGTGAAATGTCTCTGTTTCCAGCTGCTCCCACACTGCAAAGTGATGCAGAACGAGCACCCATGATGCCCCCGCTGCTGGGGTGGAGCCAGCAACAGTCTTCCTTACTGTTAAAGGACAGGGCTCTAACTCTCTGTTTCTGTCATGGCGACAAACCACCAGGACACAGTTTTGTAGCTTCAAAGTTCCCAGGCTACTTGGAAGGGAAGGGGCAGAGTTCAAAACAGGGGTCGCGGACACCCAACCAGACTGGCCCCAAGCAGCCCAAGAAGCCTCACATCATTTGTCAAACCTGTTGGGGAGCAGCTATTTTTGACCTCCAGAAACAGAGTTTGGGGTGTCTTTCCTCTTTGAATTAGTATTTCCTGAAATGCTGATTCACTGCAGGAAGGAGCAAGCGGTACAGGGAGAAAAGGAGGAGAATTCATAACAGCTGGGTCAGAAATTAATTTAAAGGCATAATACTGATTTGCCCTGCAAACTTCCATGAGAGGGGTTATAATTGCAAGACGGAATTGTCTGTTAGCAAATTTGTCTTCTCAAGTACAAAGTTAATTGAATTACTGCAAGTAACACAATAACGTATGTCTGAGAGATATTTATGCTCCAGGAAATAAGAATGTTATTCTCCAAGTTATCCTGCTAAAAAATAGCGAAGTAGGTACTGAAAGGTTCTACATATTTTGGCTGTAAACTTTTCATTTTGACAGCATGGCAAGGTACATGACCAGATTGCTCTCTCCTCTCTTTTTTCTCTGTGACATTGAAATTCCACGAATGGCATCTTGCATCAGCGTTACATCATATTAAGTATAATGCAATATTATGAGTCATTGTTATAAATCACAGGCACAGGCTGCATTAGAAGGCTTTTGCAATTCAAGAGCACATCAAGGTGGATTTTTATTCAGCGTCTCTCTTTGGAGGCATACTTAGGTGCACTAACTTTGCAATGTCTCCTCATCCTCCGAATCAGTAGCGTTTCAGTTTTCCCTCTCAGCCCTGAGGCTCACAGGAGGAGTGCAGTATGTGCCTAACAGAGTTGCTGCAAATACCAAGCAAAGCTAGGGGAAAGCAGAAGGTGTTTCTGAAGTGGATCGTGCAATGATCATCATAGACGGAAGGGTTTATTATGTTATCCTTTAGGGAAAACTGTACTACTGTTGAAGGGAAACACCAGCATTTGGAAAGCATGGAGTACAGGGGTTCTCCCAAGCTATTCTGTAAAGCCTACGCTTGCGACACTCACCCCTCTCACTTGCTAGCGACTCTTACCTCAGAAAGGGATTGATTGCTGCCATATAACTTTCCTGAAGTTCTTTCAGTTCTTGCGTAGTGTGCAATCACCACACCACTGCAAGAATTTAACAATCCTTTAAAGGAGACAGCTATTTCTGCTTCATTCAAGATACCCTTTACTTTAACTAGCCTATTAGTCTGACTGCAAGAAGCAGGGCAGAACACAAGTTCTTGCAGGGGAACCACCTGAAAGGTCGTAAGCATCTAGCACGTTGTTAGAAAAGAGACAAGACTAAGACAAGAGGCTGCCAAACAATTTTACATTTATAATTTCTCTGAATTTAGGCATGAAATTCTGGGGATTTAATAGTTCTGCCTGAACTATGTCTTAAAGCAGATGAAAACATGGCATTATTCCTGCTTGTGCCCGCGGCTCAGTTCAGCTGCCTGCAGTGGAGAGGGAGTGCAGCTCATGAGCTTGTGTCCGTAGCCCAACACTCCAGCAGCTGCCGGCAGGAGCTCTGTTTCCAGAAGATGATGAGGGATGCATACTGCCTGGCAAGCACAGTTCTAGCAGGGTATGG